TCCAGTTCTTATTATACATCCATGGTGCAGCCTCGCAGTTGTTGAATGAACGTTCCACTTCCTGCCTGCGCCGCGCTGCGCCGCGTCAAAAATAGGATTCATCCTATATTTTAGAAATTCCCTGCGGCGAGGAGCTTCTGGGACGCTTCGAGCCGCGGCGCAGCGGGTCTGGTGGAATAGCACCCATTGACTAGAGTGGCCGCGATCGCAAAAAACACCGCAGCGCAACGCAGCGCAGACGCTCCTGGTGGGATTAGGGGGTAAATTCTATTCATATTCTTGACGGGAAGAGCAGTGTAAATGGGTGGCCATGCATTTCAAAAGCAATATAAATCACACAGTTATTATACAATAGGCTATAAAAGCAGGGTCGGCGTCATGGGGGGTCATTCGCGGGCCATACCCCCCCCCCAAATGAGTCACTGTGCCCCCCCAACACAGGGTGGGCAAGCCTTGCCACTTTGCCGTTTAAAAAAAACATATAAGTGAAAGCGTTTCCACTAAAGGTTTTTTGTGTGAAATACGTCAGAAATAAAGAATACAACATTTAAAACACAGCCTGAGCTGTGCTCACTGCTGCTCTCTGATTGGTGTGTTGCTTGACCAATGACCCCCGACCTTTGTTTTGTTATCATTATGTGGCTGTGTGTTTAGATGAAAGCCCGGTGGCGATCTGTTCATCTGTTACACTGATTATACAGTAAAGCCATCGAAAATAATATGATATACAGTACAGTACAAGTAGCCTACTTCTGGGTCTCTGTGTTTCATTCAAGCTCAGCTCTGTGTGTGTGTGTGTGGCACGAGCGCATTTTGTGAGTGCGCAAGTGATAACGTGGAATGTTAATGTTAGCATGATCTGGTTAGCTAGCTATGCTAACGGATATAAAGAGCTGTTTCTACACCAAGGTGGAGGAGAGTCCTCTCCTGTCAGACTGAGAGGATCGTATAACCTCAGCTCAGTGAGGTAAGGACTCTCTCAGTGTTTCGATAGTTAACTTTAGTGTAGGTTATCTCAGTGGGTCTCAAACGGTTTGGTCACCATTTATGTAAACAAGTATTTGCGAGGAACACCTTTATATGATCATTATAGTTATTAAAGAATAAGAGAATAAATAAAAAACGGGTATGAAATACTATAGGACAGTAACACAAGAATACAGTTTAAAAGGGGAGTGATTAGTAAAATATCCATAAAGAAAAAGTAAATCTGTGTATAGTTCTGTTTCATATGGATGCTGAGAGATGTAGACTATCCATAGATCTCTTCATTTTGCTCTCAAAGTGCACCAGATTGATGCTTTTAACTTCAATATTTTTTAAATAATCTTCCCGGGGGAGCATGCCCCCAGACCATCCTAGAGGACGTTAGGTCCACCCCCACCTAAAACATGTTCACATGGATAGGATACTAAATACATTTGCACACTTTTTGTATGGTGGTCTATGTCCATATGTTTCTGTTTTGGTGGTCGTGCCTTGTGCGCTATACAATAGCACTACACCCCTGCAATGTGTGTGAAAAACAATATACTTTACAGCATGTTTTTTGAAGTTGCGTTGGTGTTTGTGTGTTGGTTGTTGACGGCAGTGTGTGCCCCCCCTTTGTAAATGATTGCCCCCCCATTCGATTTGTTCTAGAGCCGTCCCTGTATAAAAGCACCATCGATAACCATTACCTTTATCCAATTCAAACTTTGGACGGGAAAAAGGAAGGTGTGTACATGATTGGGCTATACTGTAGGCCTACTGTATACATACAAAGGCCATTCAAGCTAGTTCTTCTGGAAATGTTCACATCAGGCACCTTCAAGTTAAACAATACTACAGTAAACAATTAACACAGTAGGCCTAAATTATGTGGATTAAACCACATTTATTTCGTTAAAAATAAACGAAATATGATTTTGTTTGAATGATTAAATGTCATCAGGCACCTTCAAGTTAAACAATCAAGTGCACACTTTAATGTGCCGCCACCTCCGGACTCGGCTTGACTCGGTTTAAAAATGGACAAATGTGTTTAATCGTTTATGTCAGATATGTACTAAGTAGCCTAAATACATTTGTTCCTGCTCAAGATTAGATTCAACTTTATTGTTTTTGCACATATTGCAGGTACTGAGACAACGAAATGCATGGCTTCTAACCAGGGGTGCAACAAGCAGCGAAAAGTAATGTGCACAATACTACAGTAAACAATTAACACAGTAAATTATGTGGATTAAACCACATTTATGTTGTTAAAAAGAAACGAAATATGATTTTGTTTGAATGATTAAATGTAGGGTGAATTGCCCTAATGTGGGAAATTTTTGCATTTCAGACTTCGGGAATATATTGCGATATGAAGCCGATACAATAAATCTAAATCCAGTACCATTCCGAAATCCCCAGTAATATTAGACACTAATAATACAGTAAACTATTAACACTGTACATATTATTGTTTGCCCGTGGGATTAGGATGATCGGTAGTGAGACCCGTGCTGCATTTTCCTCCGGTCGGATGTGATATAAAAACAAAGCGATTATTTTGTTGTTGTAAACTCATGTGGATTACATTTAGTGCATTCATTTCAACTCGCGAACATATGATAAATTAAATGATCGTGAGGATGATGATTGAAAATCGTTTGTTTGAGCCGGGCTGCATTTCCTGATGAAAAAACATAGCGATGGTTTTGTACTTACGCCAACGTGAATTAAACATTATTTTGTTAAATAAAAATATGGTGATGTTTAGTAAATGATTACATGTCTCTTATTTAGCACAGAATATGATCCTATCCGTGACATATGGATCTTAACAAATATCCGCTCAGATACCTGTAGATCAGCTGTTTATTTCACATGAGTTCCAGTGGCAGCTTTTTAATCACGGCTCCCCCTGGTGGATCCATGATCCATTGCAGCTGGTTTCATTATAATTAAATGTATTTATCAAGGGGGCGTTTCAAGTCCTGCGGGGGGTTTTCCTTTTCAGCAGGGGCCCACCCCGTGCCGATCACGGACCCGCACGGGTAGGCGTCTGAAATGAAGCGCAACATCTGTAGATGTTTGCTAATAGAGTGGCGCAGGGATGACGTATTTACCCGGAAGTAAGCTGCGCATGGGTTCCCTCGACATAAAAGCAATGGGATTTCTCCATAGGATTTTGGAAAATAGCTCGAAATAAGGTCTGTGGAAAACGAACCTGTTTGATAAATGCATGTTTTGTTCAGCCGGATAATATCCACATGTCTTCCCTACTTTTATCATTTTCGAATCATAAATCTAATCACCAGAAGCAACATGCTAAAGTTATGCTATAAACGAACTACAGCCGTTCACAGCAGGGTCGCACGACTTCAACGTCACGCCAACTTAAGTTCGATATTCAAAAATACAGATTCAAAATTGTACAAGTTAAAACGTTTGTTTTAACAGTTTGCAAGAGCGCAGGTACTTGCTTTCAAGCAGAACAGGGCAAACAAACTTAGCGGGAGTGTTTTACGTGTTTGGCGTAATGACGTACAACGTCCTCGACAACTTCTGTAGTCCTATTCAGCCACTTGTTAACAACCATCGTTTTTCAGACACGTAAACTCTTCAAAAATCAACAGTGGCGTCAGTGCTGATGTATTTAATGTCGTAGAACAAAACGTGATCTATCTCTTAAATCTGTGTCAAACACAGACCTTATTTCGAGCTATTTTCCAAAATCCTATGGAGAAATCCCATTGACTCTGAGACGAGGGAACCGGTAGTGGTAAAATGCTAACTCACTTCCGGGTTTTAGGACTCGTCACTGCACCACTCTATTTGCATTCATTCCAATTCCAAAACAGAAGTCTTTTCATTGGATCACAGGTTCAAACTTACTTTTTTTGTCGACACATTAAAGCCAGGGTTCTTCTCAAGGGATTTTTGGGTATCCATTTGTATCAATGAAAATAGATAAAACTGACAACGGAGAGAAACAAAATATTATGAAATCTGACTGATAAGGAATCAACAATAAAAACCTTTAGAATGCAGATATGAATGAAGCTGGAAAGGTGTATGTGAGTACTACTCAACTCAAGCGCCCAAACAACATTTTGGCTCAGTATGGATACAAAAACACATTTTGAGAAAACAAAAATCAACGAAAGTTAGCGTCAGCCACAATGTCAGTTTGATTTACAACAGGAATAAGGGGTTCCCAGTAGGTGTTACAGATGCATATATGTCATGTCCTGTGCGACCAAAACAGGAAAAGTAAGTTGCGAAAACAATACACAACTACTGTTCTGAAACTGAGTCTCTTTTAGTAAAACCTGTAATGGTGTCTTTACAGGTCTCACTAAAAGTCTATTAGAAAGCTGCAGCTTATTCAGAACGCTGCTGCACGAGTCCTCACTAACACTAAGAAAGTGGATCACATCACTCCTGTTCTGAAGTCATTACACTGGCTTCCTGTGTGTCAAAGAATAGATTTCAAAATACTGCTGGTGGTTTATAAAGCATTGAATGGTTTATGGCCGAAATACATTTCTGACCTACTGCTAAATTATGAACCATCCAGATCTCTCAGGTCTTCAGGGACTGGTCAGCTTTCTGTCCCCAGAGTCAGAACTAAACATGGAAAAGCAGCATTCAGTTATTATGCTCCAAATATCTGGAACAAACTGCCAGAAACCTGCAGGTCCACTGCAACTCTGACTACTTTTAAATCAAGGCTGAATACTTTTTTTTTTTGTTGCTGCTTTTATTTGAACTATATGTGTCTTACACTGCACTGTAACTTGTATTTGTGTAGTTTATACCTGTGTTATTCATGTTTTATGTTTATTTTATTATCTTTGCTTTTTAATGCCATTTTATAATGTGTTTTCGTAATTTTTGTAAATCACTTTGAATTGCCTTGTGTTGAAAGGTGCTATATACATGAAATTGCCTTGCCTTGCTGATTGTTAATTATAACAATGTAGATATACCAGTCGGTTGAATGTCAAACTGAGCACAACCCCCACATAATGTCATTCCTCCTCTCAACCTAGGCTCAAAACATTTTCGGAAATCATGTGCAAACAAAACTGAAGGCTTTCTGGTCCAGAACTGGTGGATATTTGCTTTCATTGATTTGGTGTTGTGAGTATTCTGACAAACGTTTCATTTTAAGTTAACAAATCTGCTGCTGAACTAGTTTTACAGTTTTTGTGTGCTGGATTTTAAGTCGATTTGTCGGGAAGCAATGCTTTATAACTTTAAGGCTACATTAATGTTTTATACGTGGGAAAAATCTGGACGTCGTTAATTGTCTTCTTTTTCCTCAAACTGTGCAGAAAAAGATCTCTGTTGCAACAAGAAGCAGTTTAGTGTGTTTGTGATGTTTTACACCCATTATACATATAAGAGGTTTAGGTCCACATGTAGAGGAAAATAACTAAGTGATTTCTTATTGTTCTGAGATGAAAGTCAGAATTCTGAGAAATCCTCTTACGTATGAAAAAAATGGTCAATTTAGGGAATGTTTTGTGAGAGGGTTTTATGTTGATTGGAGGAGAGCTAACAGCAAACTCAACCTAACGACTGAGAGTTTTGGTTGGGGACACGTTAACAGTCATCTGCAGCCTAATGTGAACACATAATTGGCTGAGTAAACTAACAGGTTTTTTTTCCTTTTCATAATGTGGAAATATCATTGACGCCAAATAACACCTTTTTTTTATCATGTGGAGCATTTTAAAAAGGCATGAAAAAGCCAAGAGGTTACAAGAATGCGCTGAGGAAGAAATGTGTGGGGTGGGCAGCACTAGCTGTGGAATTTGCACATTCTACAAAATAAAGTTTCACAGTAACCCTTGACACCACAATTAGTGGTAACTTGTGAATTATCATGATTAATCTCAAATAACCCAAAAACTGGTAAACATGTATTTTGGGGGTAACACATGTGTGGTGTTGCAATAAATAAAAGCATAACAAACCGTTTAAACAAATCATTTTTTTTACTTTTATTATGACATTCAAGCTTAGTTTTTCAGTTTTTTTTGTTTTCTGAATTGGCATGAAGTCTGACAATTTCCAGACCCTTAGCTAAAACATTGTCACAGAAAGATCTAAATCCCATCTGTATAATCTGTGCTACACAGGGCATATGCTTGTATGTCATATTACGAGCACTATCTGTTCCTACAGTGGTGACCTTGTCCGCTATGTCCCACTCTTGTGGAACTGTGCGGCTCACGCTTCAGCAAAAATGCCTTTCCTCCGTTTTCACCACACCTAAAGCAAATGAGTGAAGTTGCTATTTGTCATCAATTAAATGTACCGCTAAACTGAGGTAGTGATGATTGTTAGGTGCAATGCATGTATCTTGTACCAGTTCCTAGACTTTCTTTGCCTTTTCTACTGCCATGCAATTCATGGCAAAATAATCTGTGCTGGGATTACGTGAGAAAGCTGGGACCAAACTTGGTAATGCTTATAATATTTATGTATTCCAACTTGAAGGAACCCATCATGTGAAAACATTGGTCAGCCCTTCACTTATTTAGATTAAAAAAGCTATACATCTGCACTCTACTGAGCACACTATCATATTTATATACATCATGTGAAATTGTCTGTGCGCACAGAGAGAGTTAGTATTTCAAAAATATTGGTATATAAAAAGAATGTGCTTGTTAACATCGGACTACATTGGTTGAAATATTTGGACATCAACAGTTTTAGGATTCGACCTGCAGGTCACCAAACTTTTGCGCAGCAGATAAAAAGGACATTTGCACTATGGTAGAGTTTTAGATTTTTTTAGTGCTTGGAAGTCGTTGGACATAAATAAACAATTTTTTTTAAATAATAATAATAAACTTTATTTATATAGCACCTTTCATGCTTGACACAGCCCAAAGTGCTTTACTGAGTATGACACAAATAATGACAATAACAAATGAGGAACATAATTAAAATATGTAAAAACATTAAAACAATAAAACATGTACAGTGATACTACTAAAAATGATAAGCCAAATTAAAAAGATGGGTCTTTAATTTACTTTTAAAAATTCCAATTGAGGTTGCCGTTCTAAGATCAAATGGAACTCCCCAGTTTTCTTGTAATGCACTCTATACGTAATGCACTGTTAACATACGCAGACACAGTTAAGTATTAAATGCAACAGCTGAAAACCGAATAATTTCTCACCACAGATCTGTCCTGATGGAGCCAGCAAGTTATCCAGAGATGAATCTGATGAAAGATGAAAACAATCAAAATCCTGCTACCTCCAACAGAGAAAAGAGAGGCCAGTGGGCCAACAAGAGGGAGTACATTTTATCTGTTTCCGGACATATTATTGGTCTGGGCAATGTTTGGAGATTTCCATATCTGTGCTTCAAAAATGGAGGCGGTAAGAACAGTTAAAACTATTGTATTGTATTGTATTGTATTGTATAAGAATGTAAGATAAGAAAATACTAGAAAACTGGTATTAAATTAGTAACATTTTGTGTCCATAGTATTTTTCTGACTAGAATCCATTACTTTTCTCAATTTGTCTTTTCAGGGGCTTTCCTGATCCCCTATGTGGTGTTCCTGTCCACGTGTGGAATCCCCATCTTCTTTCTAGAGGTATCTCTGGGCCAGTTAACGGCTCAGGGTGGGATCACATGTTGGAGGAAAATATGTCCCATATTTGGAGGTACTACTAACATAACTACATATTCCATAGAGTGCCAAAGTATTTGAAATATGTGTATATTGTTACATTACTTTTGTGTATCAAATGTTAAAATGGCAGCTCTATTTTTTTCAAAGGTTTAGGCTATGGCAGTCAAGTTACATTGTTATACAGTGTGGTGTATTACATTGTCATCCTGGCTTGGGCCTTCCTCTACCTCTTCTCCTCCTTCCACACCGTTCTCCCCTGGGCCAGCTGCAACAACACCTGGAACACAGGTAAACATCACACTGATGTTAGTGCAAAGGCCTTATGTAGGTACAGAATTACTGTAAGTGGCCATATGGAGGCAATCACTTAATCATAGGTATAATTCCCTCGAAGCACAGGCAGACACAAGTGGCTTTCTCGAATCCACCGTGAAAACTATACAAACAAACAGTATAAATGACAAACATAGTTTTGTGTTAGACACACAATAAAATGCACAGCATGTGAGATAATAAACATAAAAGTAATACAAACACAACAACATACCTCGTTGGGCTGCATGCTCTGTAAACAGAGGGAAGTATTCTTCAGTTCTCTTCACAACTTATATGTATAAGAATACAAAACTAACGGAGCTTTAAGTATCCGTGCATCTTACTCTGAGGGTGCTTCTCATGTTCTCGCTCTCTAACTCACGCGAGAACAGCATAACGAGACGTGAGCTTGGACTTCAAAATAAAAGACGAAATATTGCACGCATGAAACATTACAACAATAATAATTAGTACACTTAGAAAATACACATTACAGTTAAATTATGAACATGTAAAGGCTGCACTTACAATAGGCATGCTCAATTTGTATGGAGAACCCTTAATATCAACATGGTTACAAATTCTGAAAATGTCAACTTATTTCATTTTACTCTTTCGCTTCAAGATAACTGCATTGATTGTGGACAGAATGATTCAGTTTATCGCCACATCAATGAAAATGCAACATCATCAGTGAAAGAATTCTGGCAGTAAGTACTCACATTAGCAAAACAGTTTTTAGAGTCACTAAAATGTCTCTTGACATAACTTTCTTCTTGCACTCAGGAGGAGAGTCTTGGGTTTGTCTGGAGGAATTGAAGAGATGGGCAGTATCCGCTGGGACCTGGCTGGATGCCTTCTGCTAAGCTGGATCATCTGTTACTTCTGTATCTGGAAAGGAGTCAAGGCGACAGGAAAGGTGAGATGTATACGCTTATTATTAAATGGGTAATTTAAACCTAAAATTATAATTAAAACCTAAAAATTAATGGGCTTATTGACCACGATTAATAACAGTATGTATTGGTGCTCCTCTTTCAGGTTGTGTACGTCACAGCCACTTTTCCAGTTGTGATGTTGATTGTGATGCTGATCCGTGGGCTGACATTGCCAGGAGCTGTAACTGGAATTCGATATTACCTTTATCCTGATCTGACTCGTCTGACTGATCCTCAGGTGAGGTTTATGTGTGACTAATGAGTGATGTGTACGTGACACACTGCACAGAACACTACTTGGCTAACACTTGCAATACTAAAATGTATGGACTTTAACTTAGACCAAAACTAAATATTGGTTAATCATACTAGTAGGTGATCAGTTCAAAAGGAAGGTCATCATACAAGTGTGCAAGCCGTTTTTGTACTAAGTTGTGCCATTTATTTTAAATTCACTTTGCAAAGTTGAATTCACGTCAAAGCCCTCCAGAGCTCAACAAACGTTTGGTCCCTTAAAGACACTGTACAAAGGTGTGGGCAGAGCAGCCATGAATTGTTTTTATTTTTCAACCAATCTGTGTAATCACATGGCCAAGTCATTGTAATTCTGGACATTAGCGCAGCATTTGACACAGCTTTTTAATAGGAGGTTCGTTGTTTCTGGGAAAAACAATGTATTTTATGGTTCTTTTGTTAAGTTTGGTGTACCTCAGGGGTTGTTTTTGGTACCAATTATGTTTTCTTTATACTAGTTTTCCCCCGTTGGCACACTATGTATAAATATGTTTTTTTTAATTATATTTGATACTGATTATGCCGATGTACCTGCCCTAAGATTCCCAAACCCTGGAATGCTGTATTCAACGAATGACTGTCCTTGTGTTGTCAAAACAGAGATCTTCTGAAATATGCTGTTTTCCCATTGGATCATGACAAACATTTTAAGTTTTAAATCATGTTTTTAGGAATTTAGGAATATGTATCTTAGATTTTAAAGACACAGAGACTATTTAAAACGCCTTCATCTGGTCACATCTGCAACGGGAAAAATATGTTTTCCTTGCCCAGACAAAAAATGTATCTATTGACTGCAGGACTCGGATCAATCCTGTTTTTCCGTCTTTGATGGCTCCAAATATGTTAAAGAAAATATTTTTGAATATTGCTGATGCTTTTATCTTTGACGTCTTAGTATTCACCATTACGTGCTGTACCCATACATTAATGACCAGAAGTGTTTTTGTCTGTTATAAAGGCTTGGCTGAAAACGAAAGGGAACAGGGTATTTGCCGCAGGGCCCAGAGGCGGGGAATTGAGCAATCACACATTAACAGGAATAGAGTGGCGAAGTCCCTCCCCTTTCGGTGGACCTCCATGGGACCTTATTTCGAAAATATTATGTATTGAAGTCAATGGAGAGAGAAAGATTATCTTTCGATCCCGTTTGAATTGTGCCACGAATTACAAATATGATGTTTGTCAATTTAAAAGATAATTTTGCAAGTCAAAAAAATAAATGTGTCGTAAAACTGTGAAGTAACACATTTGTTTGTGTGAAACGCTCAATGAACTACATCTCTGGTCTCGCAGAACAACACACGTCACCAAGATGGCCGTCACTACTGTCTTGTCAACAAAACGATTGACTACCCTCACTATCACCACAATGAAACGCGTCCAGAAGAATGTCATGCAAAGCTGCCTGCCTTCATTTGATTCTCTCTGAACTGCCTGGTCTTTTTTAATGTTTAATGTCAACCATTTGTGCAGATAGCATGAAGTAGAAAAGATCGGCGATCGCCGATGCTAGCGTTAGCATTTCTCCCCCGGGCTTAAATTGTGTAGCCTATTATAGAATGATCACACCGGTGACAGTACTCTTCAAAGGGTTCACGAAATATGACTACTACTCTTACTGTTTAACATTGTGGGTTACTTAATGTTACTTCATATTAAGGCTAATAATAATAATAAAATGACAAGGCTGTAATGCTAACTAACGTGCTAGCTACTAGCTAGGTAGCTAACTTGATCCAGCCACTCCTGGTCCTTTCATCAGACGGGAAGCGAAAGAACGAGCAAGACCCATTGCTGGTATGATAACAACCTGGTACTACGCACACATGCATCTTGTTAAAGTTATCTTATCTTAGCCAGCTCCATATAGATAGATTATATCTATATGGCCCTGATCTTAGCTATCTCTTAGTGGAGGAAAACAATTGTGACATCACTTACGCGACTCTGGGATTTGTAGTCTTTCTAGTTGCGTATTTTTCATAGTCTTATATTTCAACAGTTTTACGACAAACTGTGACTTTTTTGACATGGAAATTGTTTTTTAAGATTGACAAACATCATATGTGTAATTCGTGGCACAATTTAAACGGGATCGAAAGACAAGTTTTCTCTCTCCATTGACTTCAAAACATTATTTTTCCGAAATAAGGTCCCATGGACCGGAAGTAGATGGGCGTGACTTGCATGGAAGTGGACATGTGGCTTAAGAGAGGGACATAAAGGTAGAATTATAGATGCCTGAACCAAGTACACAGTATAACAAAGTATAGTTGTATATTATACAAGTATAAACATCATATGTATCAATATTTAAAAGCATTGCACATTTAACTGATTTAAGGTGTGGATGGATGCTGGGAGCCAGATATTATTCTCCTATTGCATTTGCGTAGGCAGTTTGCAAGCGATGGGAAGCTACAACAAATACAATAACAACTGCTACAAGTAAGGATAACATTGTATCCTATGTTTGTACATTATATGCATTTAACGGTTTGTGTCATGCAGGATAAAATAGATAATCGTCCTTTTTAATTTCCAGAGACACTTTCGCCTTGTGCGCACTGAACAGTTTAACAAGCTTTGTTGCTGGCTTTGCAGTCTTCCCTGTTCTTGGCTTCATGTCGCATGAATTAGGTGTTGACATCTCAACAGTAGCTGAATCAGGTATGGGATGGTTTTTGGAAAACATTGTGGTGTATATTAGCTTTGTTGTGTTCCTATGAAAAATATTAAGTGATGAATAAATTGTTTTGTTTTTTTAAGATGAAGAGAAAAAATATATAATTCACAACTTAACAAATTCAATTCTCACAATAACATGTGAGAAGAAACACTTACATTTTGGTCCCCATATATCATGTGGGACCTCACATCAATGTGTGCTGCAGGGTTCTTTCAATTATAATTCACAAGAACATCATTCTTCCTGTAAAGTACTTATGAGGACCCTCTACTCTCTAAATGTATTCCTTATTTCCTAAACATAATCCAAGATAAAATCAATTAATCAATCAAATCCTGCAGCACCTGATATTTTGACCCATTGGCGGCAGCAGAAACTTGCTGTAAACACAACACAGAAATATTATCACCTTTTTTATGACCAGTGTGTAGGATAGTGTCATCTCGTGGTTAGATTGCATATTGCAACCTACTGAATACCAGCTTGTGTACATGGGGCCAGAAATAAAAGATTTAGTTTGAATAACTCATCATCACTGGACACAAACTAAGCAGGTTCTGGTCTAATTCCAACCTTAAAATCAGGTGCTATATATAGAAATGTGTACTAATTCCTAAGACATTTGGCTATCTACTTGCAGGTCCTGGCCTGGCATTCATTGCTTACCCTCTGGCTTTATCCATGATGCCTTTGCCTCAACTCTGGGCTGCCTTCTTCTTCATCATGATTATCCTTCTTGGATTGGACAGTGAGGTAAAGTTTTCACATTCAGCTGTATTTAACATATACTGTACATAATACATGTATAACATTTGGTTATAAGCCCCCCTGATACTTTAATTATAATCAAATCCCTGCATGAAAAGACAACATCAGTATATCTCTATTTCCTTTTACTTTTGATTGATTTGTATTGCTTTTCATGTGCAAATATTCCATAAGATATTTTCAATGGTTGTGTCTTGTGATATCTAGATATTAAGTATCCAAATACATAAAAGATATAAGCAATCAGGCTTAAGTTACAGTAAATGCTTGGACAGAATATGCACTTGGTTGAAGGTAATATTCATGAAGACTAAAACATTTCCAAAAGTCTTAAAGGTTTCCTATCATGCAAAATGCACAACAACCAGCAGCTACTGACCCATAATCAGCACTTCTCTAACAGGGCTGAAAAAGAGGGTTATGAGGGATGTCTAAAATGCATGATCTGTTTGGTATTTTGAGCAAAACACATCATAGACATGTTTTTAATATGTTTTTATATATCTGAGACCCATAATATATGCCTAAAAATAGCATAATAGGAGACCTTTAAGACCTGAGAATGGCTAGAAACTTAATTGTTATAATCAGTGTAACAAATGTAAAGGTTACATTTATCTTTTACCCACAGTTTGTGTGTCTGGAAGGCCTGGTGACAGCCATATCAGACATGTTTCCATCCTTCTTTCTCATTGGTCATCGACGTAAACTACTTCTGCTGATCATCTGTGGTGTTTCCTTTGTTATTGGCCTGTTTATGGTGACTGAGGTGAGAGTCTACTTTTTTAACCTATGACATTAAGAGTAAAAGACAACACCATTAAGTCTCTCTTTCCGTGCCAAATATGTTGTGCATTTAACAAAACAATCTCTTTTGTGTTCCTGTTTCTGTCTTCTCTGTCATGTGCTGTAGGGAGGACTTTATGTATTTCTGCTGTTTGATTACTATGCTTGCAGTGGAATACCATTCATGATTTTTGCCATTTTGGAGTGTGTCTGTGTGGGATGGATATATGGTAAGCAACAAGATCATTTTAAGCAAGGAAAATTAGGAGTCCAACAGACATACAGTATATATGTTAAGTAATGTTAGACTGGCCTCACAGATAGGCGGGAAATGTTCTGCCCTCCAGGCAGTTGTTCAAATGTTTTAATGGCTTTAGCAGTGCCCTCTGGTTAGCCCTCTGGTTACTTATGCAGTGCAGATGAAAAACAAATTGATAAATGAGTAAAATGAGCAAATATCAATACAATGTTTTGTTAACATGATTTGTAATATTTTATCACTGTTATTCATAATGGCATAGTTTTACATTAACTTAGCTTTCATTCCTCTTGGACCAAAAGAAGAAAGACTTGAGACTGTTCTCAGGAATGTAATGGACTCTAGTAGTGCTGAAATTCTGCCCCCTTTTCCTTATGAGCACGTGGCCAGGCATCAGACCTTGCCCTTTTATATCGTAATGTAGATGAATCCCAGTGTTTGATCATATTCTTGAATGACTCCCTGACTACAAGGTGCTGATCGTTATTATGACAATATAAAGGAAATGATTGGCTACTACCCCTCATCGCTTATGAAATATTGTTGGAAGTTCATTACACCATGTCTCTGTGTTGTAAGTACATTTATTGAGTATTGGTCTATCTATTTTTCAAAGGTCCCATGTCATGCTTTTCCGGTTATTACCCGTCCCCTTCTGTGTTATGAAGCTTTTTATGCATGTAAACGGTCTGCAAAGTCACAAACCCTCAAAGTACACCCTGTAGCGAGTACAACTCTAACACAGAGAAGACCTGTCTATGCTGCCCCAGAACGCCTCGTTGGAGATTTGTCTTTTTCCATTTTTTTCTTCCTAAGTATAGTGACGTAACGGTCATAGTGACGTAACGCAGCTCCGCGGATTTCCGCAGGCTGTGAGTGTGTGTGTGTGCTCAGGCTGAGTTCCGCGGTGTCTCGCTGTCTCGCAGACCCCACGCAGCAACCAGGAAACTACACCAGTAATCCAGCTCACACTGTCCGCTCCTCGAGCCTCAAAGGGCGCAGCAGCGAGCCCCACAACGTCCCACCAACACGGCACCCATGACCCCACGCAGCATTCTCATCTGTTTGTCATTACTGGTGTCTATTTCTGGTTGCTAACAAACGCCATTGTAACACATAACACTGATGTTCCGCTGTAACGGTGGTGGACTCATCAGAACAGAATGGACGAGCTGACCAATCGGAGCACAGTAGGCTCATAGGAAGGGGGGGGCAGGAGCTCCAACAAGCCGTTTAGGACAGAGAGTGAATACACATACTATACAGAGATGCTGTATGAACAATGTAAATCTATTCTAGTAGACCTCAACAATGGAATTATGATCAGTAGAAATGGCCATGTCATGGGACCTTTAAGACATTCACCGGAAAAATATCAGAATGACAATAAGAAAAATATATTTATATATCCATTGATGAAAATGTAAGCTGCTCCTCTGATTTTCTTTTTATTCCACTTGTTTTGTCATAGGGAACACTGATATTCTCTCTGGTCAAGTTCACCCCGCTGAAATACAACAACACCTACGAGTACCCCTGGTGGGGCTTTGCCATTGGGATGGTTCTTGCTTTATCTTCAGTTCTCCTGACTCCTCTGTGGATTATCTATTGTATGGCTGTAACCCCGGGAACACTGAAACAGGTAAGGTTAAGGTTAGTTTATTTATATAGCTTTATATACTAAATGCATGCAGCTTCGGCATGTTTGGTTCTGATCCAGGGAACAATGAGTAAGCCCGTCCCCAAAGATCTGAGAGCTCTGGGTGGCTCGTAACAGAGCAGCATGTCCGATTTATATTAGGGTCCCAAACCAATTAGTGCTTTATAAGTTAGTAATACAATTTTTAAAATCGATTATGTAAGTTATTGGTAGCCAGTGCAGAGATCTAAGAACTGGGGTGATGTGTTCTATTCTTAGGTTTATTTCATTTAGGTCTACTTCGATACTCTGTCGATATATACAGTATGTTATATGTGAATGGACTGAACGAAATTAGAATCATTACAGAAGCTAACTTGGTGGATTTCAGTGGGGTACTGTTATGTTGTAGTTTATGCTTTGTAGGCAATTATCTGGCAATTGTTTTTCTTTCCATAGAGACTGAAAACGTTATGCACTCCTGCATCCGATCTGCAATCTTCTCCACCAAAGAAGAATCTTTACCCTGAAACTCCTACTCCTGATACAGAGCTGCATGCTTTAACTTAAAAATGAAAACATGGCAGTACTGAAGGTAAGCTACCTTTTAATCAGAGACAACAGTGATTGATGTTCTCAGATTAAACCACCATGGTGCTGGAGACTGAACATTTCAGCTTTTCTGTTTCAGGACCTTCATTGTTTCTTAGTACACTTACGCTTCAAATGTACTATGCTGACACTCATCTAAACAAAACTTGAACACTGGGACAGTAAAATAACCATCCTGCAATTTGATTTGATCCACACAGGATGATCGAATTTCATATGATATTGCATGCCCATGTTATGTCTTACAGTATATATTTATTGACGCTTAAGCATAGAGCTAGTGAATGAAAACCAGAATTATTTTGTTCCTACCCTGGGATCAGTGTTATATAATTTTGTTCTGATTATTAAATACCTTGAAACTGAAATTCCAGTACATGTAGTAAATTAATTGACCAGTGTAGTAACAATTGCTTTGTATCTCCATCCTCACAGAAACTGATTGGGTTTTTAATCCCTTATTAACTGATGAATGCATCACCAAAGAAGAGTCTACAGCCAGTTACAAACTCAACGCAGGAGATCTTTACATCCTTGGTGTCTGAATGTTCTTGTTTTAAAAAGTCCAACCCTTGACTTAAAATTGATACTTTGTGGACAGCCGCGTTAAAAAGTTACAATTGTAAAAATACCTTATCATCTTATATAACTTTTGGTGGTGGATATTATTACTTGAATTGTTCCTTTTAAACTATACGGGTTTTGGTTGTGCAAATAAATGGATCTTGATTGAAACTCCATGTTAACTTTGCCATCGATTTCTATGTAATCAATAACCCCTCAGTATACCCATGCTGTTTTTTTATCCAAAGTGTTACCCAAAATGATTGTATACTGCGTTTTAATAAAGTGACAAATAAAGGAAAGACAACATGGTGCAGTAAACAAATCAATCCCAAATTGATTTGGTGTAGAAATGATCATAATACATCATAAAGTAGACACCTACAAAGCATGCTTAACGAGAGGCTCTCCATGTTTAAAGACGGTCGGGTGGTTTGAGTACACCGCCTCAGCCCACTGGCACTGAGGACAGCTCGCTACGGAAAGCAGCGAGGTCTGGGCAGCAGGTGGTGGGTGCTGCAATGGTCGAGGCAGAAAGCCACCTTCACCAAGCCTACCAACCATAGAAGGCTCATTTTTATAGGCATTGGGATGCAGCCAAAAGGAAATGCTTGGAGGGTATTGTAAGCCTTCAAGCCTTTTCTTTAATGTTAAAACTGTTTAAAAAGCAACTAATCATGTTTGAGGGAAGACATTACAGGTGAATATAGTAAGGTTTAAAGAATACATTTCACCAAAAAGCTAACCCAGTGGATCATTTACAATTACACAATTATTTATTTATATTATAATACGTTTTATAAAATGTCATGTTTGAATATTCAAATAAGGCATTAGCTCATTGAATGTGTGCTAATTAGCATATATTTCCATAACTGAAATCTGAACATTTAATAAAGCCAAGATTAAAATTGCTGTATCAATCCATTGAGATGATTACTTAATATACTGCTGATAGTAATAATATCAGTATATTTGATTCGGTCATAAAATGTTTATATTTGTTGATAAAATGCTGATATTCTAAATCTGCTATATTCTAAAAGTAACTAGTGATGTTTTCAAGGCAAATGCTTGTAAATCATGCCAAAGGGAAAATGTATCACAGTCTGTCTGTTTTCCTGTTTTATTTTGACATGTATTTTCTCTTGATGTCTTACTTCCTGTGATTTACTTCCTGTGCCTTACTTCCTGTGCCTGATTGTCTCACTAGGCTTGTTTGAGACAAGCGAGACCTGCGCAGTTGCGATCAACGTCTTGCTAGTGCGTTGCATGATGGTTAGTTATTTTGTCCGACTTGCTCTGGAGGCTCGCCTACATGAGACGTTGAAATCTCGCGGGACAAAGACGCCCGCAGCCTTGAGAGCGAGGCGAGGCGAGGCGGCGCAGTTCCTCTCCACGGGCTGCGGAAGCGAAATGCTTGATGGGAAACGACTCGCTGGTATCTCGAGCTGAGCGCTCATTGGTGGTTTTTACCCCGTGCTGCTGATGAAACTCTCCAATTGGCTCGGCAAAAGTTTGTTGTTGTTTTGTGTCAGTTTTACGTCGCCACATGCATTCCCATTTTTCATCATTGTTCCACAATGTTTATCATCATGAAATTAATATCCATATATTTTATACTATACTTGCACTGCTTACCGTTTTCATACTTGATATGTCTTAGCATATTCATACACACTGTTCATACTGCTCACAGGCTGATATCTAGTGTATTCATACCCCTCACTGTTTATTCATCATTCAATTAATTCTATATTTTATTCTGTCTATTGTGTACATTACTTTTCACTTTACTGCTTGTTGCACCTGGTTAATCATCTTTATTTAAAGAGACTCTTGGTCCATTATTACAAAAACATACAACACTCAAAGATAAATTAAAAAAGGCAGTTATACCAATGTTTCCACAGAGGTGACTGGTATCGTACAGCACTGAAACACGGATTTGACAGCAGCATAATGAGTTAGTTAGAACTAGCTAAACTGCATTTCGTTGTCTCAGTACCTGTAATCTGTGCAATAACAATAAAGTTGAATCTAATCTTGAGCAGGAACAAATGCATTTACTTAGTACATATCTGACATTAACGATTAAACACGTGTGCATTCTTTATAAATGCAAACCGAGTCAAGCCGACTCCGGAGGTGGCGGTATGCACCTTAAAGTTGTTTGCAATCCGCCAAAAATCCGAGAGAAGAAGAAGAAGACGACGAAGCCGACTCCGAGCTGTCCAACTTCAGGCGAGCTTTTTGAGACCTCTCACGGCTATTCTCGTCTACTTTCGAGGCGAGCCGCAACGCGTCTCAAACAAGCCTACTATGTCCACTTGCTGCCCCTGTGTTTTCCACAATTTTTCAAGAGGGCAGCCACTGATGGCTTATCATTTATTTGCTATAAAATCTCTTTCACTTGCCCTATATAAATGATTTTGGGGTCAAATCACACTTTCTGGACCATGTAGAAACTGGATTAAAAACAAAAATGGCATTATTATTAAAGCTTAGCAACCGAGTCGACAAAGTTTCCCCCTCTCATATTTTATTGGGTCAGTGACGTGACGCCTAGATATCTGTTTCCACAAGCAGTTAATTTTATATTGTTGTATAAAAATGGTTAAATATTGTATGAAAGCATTAATCTCACATCACTTTCTTGACCACTATTCGTAAATAGTGTAAATAATACTAAATTGGGTGATTTTTCTAGTATTAAAGTGGTAAGATGTCATTCGGTAAAACGGTTCTCACTTAAAGTCAATGAAGATAATTGTTTGTAAAATAATTAAAATAATTAAAAATCATGAACTATTCTATGCGGCATATTTTTTCAAGTCTCTTGATAAACTTGTTAAAGTTTTGATAAGATGCACCTTTAAAAACATAAAGAAATATCTAAAAAACTTTGTTCCGCAAAGAAACATTTTCCTGAATGTAATTCGGTAAAACAAAGATCAGAGGCCATTTTGAACTATAGTCACATGACTTTATTCAGGCCACATGTGATGACATCACTCAGAGGACCCCTGAAGACCGCCCAAGTTGAAGGTAAGTTTACATTTTGCACCTAAGTTTGAGATAATTACACCTTTCCATGTGTGGTACCATGTGTCACAGATTAGAGTGTCATTCGGTGAAACGTCAAAAAGTGTTTATAACGTTTTTAATTTTTAAAAACATTAAATTTGAAGTTAACAAATTGAGGTCAAGGTCATTGTTGCTAATAGGCGACCAAGTAACTGCCTGTTAGGAATGAATTTCTATGAAATTTGTCATTCAGCAAAACATAATTTGTCATTCAGTAAAACCGTTTGTCTGGATGACATCTCTTATCCCGAATAACACAGTGGATTTAACTGATTTCTTTCTTTCTTTATTGATTGTTTTAACATGCTATTGAGTTTGTATAACTGCATTTATTTAATATTTAATTAAAATGTTGTATTATTATTAAAATAAAACATTTTAACAGATGCCTGTGTCCAACAAGGAGAGGGGTGCACGCTTCCGTGCAAGGATAAGGACAGATCCTGCTGCTAGGGAGGAGAGACTAGCAAAGAGAAGGGACAGCTATAACTGTGAAGGTGTATGAGAGCAGTAATGACAGTAAACAGTGTAGGATGCATTGTCTATAAGTAGGGATGATCCAATCGATCGGTCACCGATCGAGATCGGCCGATACTCACTCTCTACCGATCGATCCGTGCTCTCTAAACATGCCGATCGCGAGAGCCGATCGCATGACGTAAAATTATGACATAAAATACATGACACTTTTCTCTGTGCGCGGCAAAACAAGCAGACAAAATGGCTTCACCAGTCTGGCAATATTTCAAGGTGTCCGAAACAGACATTAAAATAGCGGTATGCAACGTGTGTGAAGCAGAAATCCCCCGTGGTGGAACGCAACAACGACAATTTAATACCAGCTCTCCCGGATCTCCGCCCACGGTGACTGACCGGTGACACACACTTCAAGTTAAACCTAACACACTTAGCTATTTTATCTACCTCTGGAACAACCTAAACTAATTATAAATATATGTATTCTTCACTGTCAGGTCACTCATTACTGGATCAGTGAGCTGCATGAGATACTGACAGGCTGTCAGGAGAGAGAGAGAGGGAGAGAGAGCGCTTCTGCTAATTTCTCCCGTGGTCTCCCGTGTTATTATTATATTTATATATACAGTCTATGGTTATTATTCAAAGTTAATGTACATTTGAATAATGTACTTCATTTGAATGTAATAATTATGTTGGTTGTTGTTTGTGGAAGCGCCAGTGAATGAGCCCCATTAACTGAGTTTTAAACATCACTTTAAATGGAAGATCCCATAGGCCCCGCCCACTCGATCGGATCGGCCGATACTGATTCTGCCGATCGGCCCCAAAATTGGCGATCGGAGCATCACTATCTATAAGCCTGAATTTGTTTTCCATATCTACAGTACAGTACCACTACAAAGTGCATTTGGCATGTTAACTTCGCTTAAATCTTCATTAAAAAGAATAAACAAATGAATATCTAATAAATAAATACATGACTAAATTAATTAATTCATAAATACTTTGTAGGTATAAACAGAGGACGCAAGCTGGACAGCATGATCATCCGTCCGTCACAGAACTGACAGCATCTGCTGCTGAAAAGAAGAGGGAACAGTGGAGGCTCAATCAGAAAGACGAAGGGAAAGAAAGAGGCAGGTGGAAGCTGTGATGAACCTCACACCTCTGTCTGAGGACCCTTTTGAGGAGCCTCCACAAGTTACCCCTCCTGAACCATCTCAGCCATCCTCACTTCCGCCATCTGTTTCTGCTCAGCCATCCTCACCTTGGGAGGGACCACTCACATCCTCAACACCTGATAAGGCTTCACGTGGAAGCAAGAAAAAAAACTGTGAAAACCATCCACGGAAACTGAGGGAGGAAATAGAAGAGTTAAGAAAGCAACTTTTAAGAGAAAATGTGAAGTACATCTCAAGCCTATGCCACCAATTCCGACTCCCTCCGACATGACGAACGGGCAGTGTGTGGACATCTGAAACATGTTATGAGACTGAGTCTTTTTTTTGATGTCAATAAATGTAAAGTTCAATTATAAAGTATTTGGTATCCTTTTTTAAATGTAGGACTACATCCAGTTATTTGATCTATGTGCAATGGCATATTGCAGTTGCAGTATGTCATTCAGTACAACGAAAGACGTCATACAGTAAAACAATGAATTTTACAACAAATATATAAAATAGTGTGTTACTTGACATAAACAATGAAATTAATTAAGGGAATTTAATTATAATAAGAGGTTTCATATGATT